CTAGAAATGGATGGTGACCAAATTATGCTCAAGTATTCCAGCCCACTTTCATATTTGGTTGAAATTCATCAGTTCAGAAGTGATTGCTGATAGAAAAACAGATGGAACTGCACAAGCCTCGATCCCTTTGAAAAATCATAGCTACTTTTGCAGAGGAGTCACAGGTGGTGTGTTAGTGAGCTACAGAGCACCTGGCAGAACAGACAAGTATAAGGAGACAGATTTCCCAGTTGAGGTCAACCCATCAGTGTCAAACCTTAATTTCTCCTCTACATCCTATTGCCACCAAGTACACAGACCCATAATCCCAACTGTGGCCACCACTGCTGACTTAATCCTACACAGGGACATGAGCTCTGAACCATTTTCCTCCTTCCCTTATACCTCATCAAACTTGTTCAGCCACATGCCTGATCAGAAGGGTATCAGTACCCTGTGACTTGTCCAGGTGACTCTGTACTATAAAGCTGCTGCTATATGAGCTGCATGATTTTCCACTTAAAAAGATGGGCTGGTGAAGTTTTCCTACTATAGAAGGCAGAGGAACAGCTAAGTCCTCATCTGAATTCTTTATCCTGGTCCTTCTCCCTTGGAATGTCCTTTCTCTGCACTTCAATGCATCTGCAAAGTTCAAGTCTCCCATGTGGAAGAAGACATCATGCCTGCCTCTTTCACCTTTAAAGGCTTGAAGTCAGCTGTTTCCACTCTGCCAAAGTAACACATATTTTCCCATGTACTAGTCTACCAAAAGCTGAAATGTGATTTTTCTAATCCAGCTGAGAGCCAAAACAGCACCAGCATCCTCTTGCTCAGATCCTTCATTAAAGCAAAACTAACTAAATTAGCTGCCCTGGGGATCAGATAAAGGCCTGAAAAATGTTTAAAAGATTAAAGGAAGAAAAAACCCACAACTATTGACACTGGTAAATGTGTCTTAATTAAAACTTTTGAAAGCATAATTCAAAGACACTCCAGTCATCCTCCAAGTCCCTGCAAAAGTTAATGAGATGAATTTTTCTTACAGTCCCCCATTGTTCCATGAAGTATAAAAAGGGAGTCAGAACTGAAAAGGAAATATTGTGGCTACAGGGCTAGATGCTGATGGCATTCACAGGAGTATAATTCCAACATGACACCCTGCAGACCCCACTGGCATTTATTCCAGAAAGCCATGGTGGCAACTGCTGGGTTGTGCTGTACAGCCAAAGGTCTGCCTTGAATAGTAGAAGCAAAGGGTGATGCTAAAGAAGTACACCTCGTGCACCAAATGTCACAAAAATTAAACTTCAGGTACAGTGGGTTTTGTTTCTTCAAGGAGCATACAATTACACCTTTGATTTATGGATAATAAAAGTTGGTGGTGTTCTTTTTAATGTTTAATTTTAATCAAAAAAGTCCCCACTGTTTCTAAAGCCTCTAGTAACCCAGCCCAACAGTGAGAGAATGAACACACTGCAAATTCTCTTGCAGAAAAGAGAGCAGACTTGGTATCCCACAACTTGCAATAAACATCCCCTACTCAGAAAAACGAACATGAGGGTCCTTCACATGTGCAAGATCTATTTAACCCAGCTTAATGGAGAAAGATGACAAGTTTGATTTAGACTGGGCCAGGGCTAGATATTTGCTGTTCAGGATTTCTGTTCACACAGCACCAGCCACATAGTGTGAAATTTAGAAAGTGGAAACTACCCTGTGGAGTGCCCTGCATGCCCTGTGCCTGTGTGGAGGAGGCAGTCTACACATGTGTTCCAGGGAAAGGGGGTGAAATTCCCATCAGTGACCCTGAGGGAATTTCAGGAAGTGGAGAATCTGACTCATTTTCTGGGGTTGGATGTCAGACATCACATCATGCTGCTCCACTCCTCCTGAAGGTGGACTTGTGGCACAGAGCAGTGTCCCAGGAGATGGCACCTGGTTAGAATGAGACATGGCAAAAGGACAACAGTCCCAGACTCCAATCACAGCTTCCTCCACAGCACAAAAATTCCCAAATAAAAGTAACAAGTATTTGCATATTCAGGGCTTGAAAGAGTTTGCTATTGTTTGCCAGTTACTGGGGGGAGTTTTTTGGTGTTGTATTGTTTAAGGTTTTTTTATGTAATAGTACTCAGCATTACTGCTCATTAGTGAGCACTCTGTTACTTCCTAGGAGAAAAGAACTGGAGAAACTTCCTCAACAGAATCATAAAAGGTTCATTAGAAAAAGGAAAAGTTGATTTAGAAGAGCTGTAAATGAGTTTCATGGAAAGAAAGGGGCACAGGAAAAAAACATGCCCTCTGCAGATACAGGCTGCTTGCTCTAAGCCACTGTCTGTCTTTATAAATCCTGTTAACAGTAGAACAGTGCTCTTCAGGAAAGAGCAGGTCCTAGAGCAGGTCCTGACCTCCCCAGGACCAACTCTGTGGCAGCACAGATGCCACTGCAGCAGGACAGCAGAAGGCAGCACAAGCCAGGTCTGCATCAAACCATGAGCGCGGGTGCCCCGACACCCAGAGCACGCTCCCCTCTGACCTGGGGCACCAGCCCTCGGGCACCCAAGACCTGCTCCCTCAAAGCCACACGCAACCTCCCTCCCAGGCAAGAAGAAAGCCCAGGGCACTGCTGGCTTTAGATGAGGCTGAAACAGGGCCACTGCCCCTGGAGCCTGTCCCCACTCCGCTGGGGACAACTCTGCCCTGCGTGAGGTTTGCACTTGCCTTGGGCTTCCATGCAGAGGAAGGGGCTCCCCATCTCCCCGGCCCGCAGTCAGCAGTAACACAGCGGCTGCTGGGGATGCTGTGAGGCTGCCTGAACCAGGCAAGCCTGGGCTCCGGCACGGTGATTTACCTTCTGGTGCCCTCTAGTGCCAACAGCTACGTAAGGTGGCCTTGCAACTCCGGCACCCACAGCCCTCCTCCCACCCGGCTCCCTGCACCTCACCACCCTCTGCCTTCCTCAGTCATCGCCCCCACTCACACCAAACCCTGCCAACGGGCTGCTAGTCACGTCCCAAGGCACTTGTTTTAAGCCAGGAAAGAATCTATGCTCTAGAAAGATCTCCCCAAATCCCTCACCCTGGCCCCCTTCCAACTCAAATCACAAGGCTGTGAGCTGACCAGGAAGCAAAGAGAGAAGAGATGGAGGTCCTGCAGGAAGCCTGAACCCCTTTTGGGTGCATCATGTGGCAAGGTGACAAACACGCTTTTTCAACACACAGGAGATGTGTAGTGATCTGGTGACGAGGGTCCCCACCACCCCCTTCGACTACAGGTTTACAAAGACACACCCCCAGCGTCTCTCAGTGAGGTAGGAACTATAGAGCACAGGTCTTGAGAAGAAAGTGGGGGCTGAAGATACCTGATTCAGTCCCTACCTGTGCCACAGTTGGAAGGACAGACCACTGTGTGACCTCAAAAAAAAAGGGGGGGAAGGGGGAAAATCCCCCCAATATAGTCCCTCTCATTCTCTCTCCATGTTTTCCACATGCTTTGGAGTCTGATTCAGAAGCTCTGTGCAAGTGGGACTGATGATATATGTGACTCACCATGCTTGCCCCATTCCTTCTTGGTGGGATGTTTCAACAGAGGGTTTAACTAATCCCTTCCTACAAGGAAACACAAAGAATATTTTTATACAGCTTCTGATGCACCACTCACACTACCCTGCATCAGGATTTTCCTTCATGCAGTAAGATGTCTTTGTTCAGAAAAGGCGCACAGTTCATTGCTGGGGCAAGTGAAAGGTAACCATCACCCTCCCGCTCACCTGAAACAAATGCACATACACAGGCTGAGGTCCACCACCCTCAGCCCTTCAGCGATACATCGATTCATCTCTCAGTCTCCTGAATCTGGCAGCTGGTTATTTCAGGTGCAGCACAAGGTTTGGCAACCAAGCCCTTTTCCCAAACTTGCAAGCTCCTCAGCATGGGCCAACACTGCCTGGAGATGACCTCTCTGGAAACAGAGTACTGACTCTAGGGAATCCAACCCCAGAGCTGGAAAGCTCTGCAAGCCACAGAGAGTCAAACTACCCCCCCCTATGTTTTTCTTGCTCCCTGGAGAGCACCTAAAGAAAACCCCACCTCCTCTGAGCCTAACACAGCCCCTTCCTGTTGTCAAAACACCTTTTGTAAATGTGGGGCACAGTGTGCTCTGCCACTGAAACCAAAATCCTCTTCCTACTGGCTCTGCTCCACATAGTCTCCTCAAGTAGATACCCCTGAAACTTCCTTGTCTCCCTCACTCAAACCCCAGATCTCCACATCAGGGGAAGGAAGACACTGAGCCCATCTTCTCTGTCAGGCTTCTCCCCACACAGACACCCATAAACAAGTCAAGAACAACATCCCCAGGGCTCACGCCCATTTCTTAGGGATTAAATTTCCTCACTGTAGGGAGAGGCTCTCGGAAGACCTCGCCATGTACGGGAAGAATAGGGAACCAATCAAACATGCCAAAGAAGAATGTTACCAAAACACAGCCATGGTTAAGGTGGATCCCTTTAAGCAGCATATATAAGGCAACTGCGCAGCTAATAAGTTGAACAACTAGCAACCATCATATTGGTGTCTGGGCTTTTGTTCCTGCGAAGGTTTTAACCTCCTGCAAGGGTTAGCTGTGATCTGAGTGCCACATTTCTGTGACTTAACAGATAGAAAAAGACAGCTAATGCCTTACCATAACACCCCACCAACATGACTGTTACCCTCCTTACCCCCACACCACTTCCCAGTGTTACATCACACATATCTGCCCATGCTGCTGCACATCCCCTGAGGATCACAAAACAAAGGTCCTCGTCTGATGCAGGACTGGTGTTGCTATCACCGAGCCAGAGCTTTGTGACTGGGCTTCAAGGTACATGGTCATCAGCAGGAGACAAAGTCTGCGTCAGAGTTGCGATGATTCAGGGGGGGTTAGGGTGATATTTTTTTCTTTCCTCCCAGCCAATAAGAGCAGTCAGAAGAGGTACATCTTCCCCTGCAGGAAGTAGAGCAGTCACTCTTCTTGCTGGCAGGCTCCTCTTCTGAAGTGGTGGAGATGGCAGTGAACTTCACCTGCAGCTTCATCACATTTTGCTGTTTAGCACTCTGGAGCTTCACTGGGACTTCAGGTGGTAAGAGTAAAAAATAATTTCTGTTTTTCTTGTGCTGCTTTCTAATGCATTGGTAAGTAACAGCCCTTCTCCAGCTGCTGCCCATGCTGGCTCAGCACTACAGGTTTCAGACTGCAGCTGAAAATCCAGCTGTTTTAAAAGACTTTTCCTCCTTATAGCAAACCATGTCATCCAGGTACATCATCTAAGGATTTTAAAGTCAACTTAACGGTTTTAAATTATTTGTCAGTGTTTAAACTCTGCATGACCTTGATTATTAAATCTAAAGACTGTGGGTAACAATTTGACTGCTAAGTACAGACAGGCACTTGAGTGCTGATTAGCTGACTTTAATGAAACATTACTCCATATCGTTTCTTTCTTTGCTGAGCAAGGAAACTCTCTTGACTGTAGCTGGCCTTAAATCTTTAGAATGGGAGCTGCAGACAAGAATGTTTTCTCTCTGAAGGTTTTAATTCTACTTCAGTTTTACTTTGGTTCCAGTACACAGAAGGTACTAATGCACTCAGGGATGGTGTTTGGTTAGCCAGTAGCTTTTTGTTTCAGCTGCGGTTTCCTTTGGGGGTTGCAGAGGCATGCAGGAACTCTGCTGCCTCTTAAATGTAGAGATAAAGCGTAGCCTTGCTCCTAGTAATGGAGAAAAAGTTTTGAAAGCACCTCATGATAAAAACGCAACCTGTTAAAATCTGCCTATTTGCTTCACTGCAGGCTGGGAAAGGGCATCCACAGGATTGCTCTCATACTGCAGGAACAGGCCGCCCAAACTATTCCTCAGTAAGGAAAGTACAAGAGACCCTCTTAATACAACATTCAACTCATCTCTGCAAGAACAGGAAAACCTCTCTCTTGCTTAACAACAGGCATTTAGAGCAAGAAAAGAGTCTACCCTGATGCCATCCAACAGAAGGAGGGCCAGATTTTTCCCTTCTCTCTTCACACTTTCAAGCCTAGGGTTTTGATCAAAAGCAAAACTCAGGTCTCAAATACAACTGCTCTGGCTCTAAGCATCACCCTGTAGAGCAGTAAGAGCTGTTTTCCCAGGTCATGAGATCACACCCTCTGGGCCTCTGAGTATTGTAGGTGCCTGGCCAAGTCATGCAGTACCTCTGCTCCCACCCAGGCCTGGATGACAAGTGTTTCACCAATACTGGTGTGCCTAGAGCCCTGCACCATTATCTGACCCTCTGGGCCATTCTGCTTTGCTCCTGGAGTGGGGCCATTGCCTTACACACATTCAGCTTTTTAAGGTAATGGCCCACAAGGGTCAAGATGTCAGGAAAGGCTGCAGTGAAGGAAATAAGGTGCCTGGCAACAGGGAGTTTCTTGGTTTTAAAATATAGTGGTGCAAACTATTCCAAACAGCAAAAAGTGATTTCAGACCAGTGTGTGCACTATGCAGTGACCACCCTGAATGAGAATCAAAGCATGTAAAGAAAAACAAATCTTAGCCTTGAAGAATCTGGGTCACCAGAGGAAAGCAGGGGAGTTAAGTTTTACCATAAGGGCTCAGTAGATTTTATACCACTTTGCTCTGGTACAAGTCATTCTCAACACCAAGTTGCAATGGGTGAAGGAGATGAAATGCCCAGTACCCCTTGGTGAAAGCTGGGGCAAAAATATACTAGCCTACCACGTGCCTACAACACATGGTCCAGTCTGTGGGCACATCTCTCCAGATGCTGCATGTCAGAGGCTTTGCCATGTGTGACACTGCTGAATCTACCAGGCACTGGAATCAGGAACAAGGGCACTTTGGACTCTGACTCTTGCTTTGAGTAACACATTTCATAGTTTGCTTCCCAGACACACAGTGTGACTTCAACCAGCTTCATTCACCCTGCCACCCCATGCCTAAAAAAGACGTCACCGTGACTCAAGAGGTGTTGTGGGCTATTGAGCCACAAAGTGACCTTGTACTAAGATTGAAAAAGCCTGCAGCTATCTCTACTACTACAAGAGACAATATCTGCTGTTAACACCCCCGGCACTGCCACATGACTTCCCAACAGGCGTAAAAGCATAGATTCAAGCAAGGTCTTGGAGAGCAGCAAGAAGAGCTCAAGCCACTGGCCTGCTCTGAGCCTGGCAGCCTGTCTCAGTTTTCAGGTGAGCTCAGGAAAAAGCTGGTTCCTATAAGCTACTGGAGTGGTATTGATGGCGGAGGAAGAAAAAGCATGGCATACCTGAAGAAGAGGACAGCCGGCCTTATGGGCAAGGTCCGGACTAAGGCCCTGCTCTGCTCCAAGCTTCCGACTTCAGGCAGGTCCTGCAGGGCCCTCTTGAATCACCTGTGGGTTCCACCAGATTCACTCTAACCCTCAGGCAGAGTCCCTGTTCAGAGCAAGAGGACAAACATGCTTTGTAAAGTCTTACCCATAAAGTGAGTACTGGATAAGATGTGCTGCCTGAGAAATACCTTCAGACCTAGGCTGCATGCTTTCTGTGACTCTTGAATCCCACCGTCACTGCAGTGGGAAAATACCATCCCATAGAGAACAGTCTCAGGACCTACGAGTAGATTCTGGGCTGTTGGGTGAAAACACACTTCCAGTTCCTCAGCACTGGCTGCACACCCAGTCCCAACGTATGTCAGAGACATGGGACATGAACACTTGTCACCTTCACACCGAAAAAAAGCCACTTGCAGAACATTCACTCCTTTCAGACACACGGCCTGGGCCTCTCAGCTCCCACTGGCAAGAAAACACGGGGATCATTAAGGTAACTGGGGCATCAGCCAGGAAGAGATGTGAATTTGGACATCCTTGTATTGAAGAGGGATGTGGAATTCAGTCTCTCTCTTGCAGGTCAACACTTTAATCCCTGAGCAGTGTTACAAGGGGGTGCAGCAATTAACCACCTGCAGCAGAGAATGTGAGTGCAACTAGGACATATATAGGCAACCTGAAAGCTGAATTTTTGCAGCCTCCTATGCTGAAGATGGCATGTAATGCTGGTGGTGTTTTTTTTAAATAGATCATCAGGCTGCCCTTCTCTCTTCTACTCGAGTTTCTCAGTACGAACTGGCTTAAACACACAGTCTATGCTCTGTGCTTGGCTGTTAGTGAGAGATCTGACTGTGGAAAACAGCTAGAGGTGCTAAAAAGCTTGACTTTCACAGCAAATTTAGTACAAGGTCTGTGTGCTCATTTGTGTGCACACATATAGTCACTGGCTACACAGACACAGCATGAACTCCAGGGGTCATCTCCTGCACTGGCATGTCTTGGCATCAGCAGTGGCTGCATGGCAGCTTGTGCAGGTTGAGGATTTTTTCCCCTTGTTTGTATTTCAGAAATGAGAAAATGGAGGGGAAGGCAAATGTTAAAGGGGAGGAAATAATGGCATCAACTGTGAGCTTCAAGGTTCTTTTAAGTTATGGAAAAAACAAGCAGAGCATGGGAAAATTAGCTACACAACCAAATAAGAATGTACAGTAATAAGGACTGTGTGGGAAGAAGTGCTCAAAGCTGAAAGCTTGTGGGTTCCTCCCCCCAATCTCCATTTCTTACACACCTTGCTCCTCCACTTCATGGCTGTGATAAGATGGCCCTTGGCATTTAGGTCAGGGCAACATCACTTCAGCACCCAAAGCACCTGTTCTGCAGGCCAGTGGGGAGCTAGTCCAAGTTCTGCCCCAGGCCCTTCCCCACCCAGCTGGAGAACAGGGACACCCTCTTCTTGTCAGCATGTACAAGGGTATCTTTTGCACACCTTTATCATCACCTAAATCTTCCTGAAATAAAAACCTCAAGATACCCAAGGATTAAGGGGGGGAGTGGGAAAGACTTATGTCTGCAAGTTAAACTTGTCATGCCAACTAAGAGCAGCAGGACTCTGCCAGCCAGTCTTTGATATGTTATCAAAATTATACTGTACTCTGAGCAACATGATCTATCTTTATAACTAGAATCAAAGTTGAGTCTGCTGTGAGCTAGGAGTCATACCAGAGATGTTCTAAGTAATATTCATGATAGCCTGGTTTCCCTTAAGTCAGACTGAGCTGTGCTAACCCTTCTAGTAGCATCTTTTTATGTCACTTCATTCCACAGGATTGTTTCACCCTTTCAAACATGCAAAGGAAAATGACTTTGTAATGCATGCAGAGTCCTTCTGAAGCACAAGTGCATTGAACAAGTAAGAAGGTTTAGCATTAGTTCAGAGGGCTGAAGCTCCCACGGTTTCAAGCACCTGATGTGTTTTGCACTCATGTTTTGTGTTGTTTCAGCTACGTATGTATCACCACCTCATTCAACCATGAAACCTGGCTCCCCTGTCCCGATGAACACTGACAACCCTGGTGTTCGCAAGGCAGCTCGCTTTGGGGTTTACAGATACAACAACAGCTCCAATGACCTCTTTCTGTTTAAGGAATCACAAATAAACAAAGCCATGGTACAGGTAAGAAGAGCCCAGACTTCTGGTGGTCCTCCAAAGCATTTACCAATTGACCCTCCTACAGAGCACCCAAGACACAGGAGTCCTGATCCTCCTCACAACTGCTATGCATGCCTAAAGATAAACAGTGCATGTCCCTCTATCCCATTCAACTGCTCCACAGGGGGGCTCTGCCCACCTCCCTCATAGGGTCAACACTAAACACTTCAACCTGTAACACCATACACAATTCACAGATGTAGCACTTGATTCCTAGCCAAAATTTTAGCATCCCTTTCCCCTGCCCTTACTTTAAAGGAGGAAACTACTTTCTCTAGATTGTCAGAGGGCTGAAATACATGCTCCATGTGGAAATTGGACGCACCGTGTGTGAGAAGAGGGAGCACTCCAGCTTGGATAACTGTCACTTCCAGAAGAAAAAAAGCCTACAACAGGTATGTGTCCAATTCTTTTAGAGTACCCAGTAACAGCAGGTGATTCTTGGCCATCTCTAGATGTGCAGTCACCTTCAGACCAGCTCTGCCATGTCCCCATAGATGTACAAGCCTCCTCTGTGCAGAGCCAGCTGGGGTGAGGCAGTTACCAGTATAAGCCGCATTGTATCTCTCATGCATCCAGGGCCAGCTCCTGTCTGCAGGGAGTTGAATCAGACACAGCCACCTAGCCCATGTACCTAGGTGACTGAGTGAGAGTGTGCAGAAATAGAGTAGGTGCTTAACAGAGAGATTTCCTGGGTGGGGGGAATCCTTACTTGGGCTTTCCCCTAAGATACAATTACTTAGCAAACAGTACTTTTCCTAGGATAAAGGGGGCAGACAAAAAGTTGATGTTCCCTCCTGCTCCATCATGGCCCAGTATGCTGAGACCAACCAGCGGCCACCTGAACTTCATCACCAGTTCCCCTTTTATTTGCAGATGCTGAGATGCTATTTTGAGGTCTGGATAACACCTTGGTTACATAAAGTGTATGTTCCTGTTGCTCTCTGTCACTGACTTGTCTTTGCCAGTGAGAGCCTGACCTTCCACCATCTACCACCATGAGTTTTTCCTTGCCTGGACCATTGAGGCCAAAACTGAAGTGGGCAACGGCTGGACAGAATCACCACAGCACTCTTCTCTCAAAGCACATGACTGTTTTCCTCTCTGAGAAAGATGCTCAAAAGTTACAAAGATGAGACCTACCTTGACTGAATGTGTTGCTATCCAGTTGTGTATCTATTTTTCCAAAACTAAACTACAGATGAGAGCATGTTGTCATTCATTCAGTACTGAGCCATCCACACTCTGGCTGAATTTTGAAGCAGTGTGAACACACCCAGGAAGCTCTGTTGGACTTGTTTTATTCTGTGATGAATCTTCATACAGCTATGATGTAAACAAGTCTAAACCACAGCACATGTGACTACAACATTGAGGAAAGCTTTGCAACAGTGAGATAGTTTGCCTGTGGATACATGCACACACACACACACACACACACACACACACACACACAAAGTCTTAAGAGTCTCCAGTGCTAGAGAAAAGGTTAGACATATCTGTCAGGAATGTGTGAGGTAGAGTTGTTCTTTCTTCAAGAATGTGGATAACGCTGTTTTGAAACACACCCACAGTCCAGAAATTACAGTCTAACTAGTGCTTCTACTTTAATCTTAATTTACTATGAAAGGCCATCATTGCAAATGACAAGACAAATAAACCCAAACATATTCCCAAAGCATATTTTTTCTGAGGTTAAACAATGTAGTTTCATTCAGCATTCAATATCTGGCTGACCACAGTTTATATTCCAGTTTAGTAGAATGATGGTCTTCTCTAGGTGGGCATCTACCATTCCTTCAGCTTTTGCTCTTCATGTATGGGCAGATTACTGCTTACACTGGACTAAAGCCCTTATTTGGCAAGATTTGGGTAACTGCTTCCTTAAAACAGCAATCAAGTCTAGGCACATATTCAGTCATATATAGACCAGCACTTATAAATGGATAGGGCCCCGACCTAAGCTCTGAAGAACACTTTCTTTACTCAAACACCCCTTTTCTTCCGATAGTTGTTGCCTTTCTGCAGCAAAGTCGCAACTCCTATTAGCAGTGACACCCCCAACTTTCAGCCTTTATAACAACCATTCAATCAAGAAAGGCCAGTGAAGGGCTCCACATCAAAGTCCAGGGTTCTTAAGACCGATGGATCTATTAACAACATAGCTGAGGTCTCTGCTCTAAGTAATTCCAAAGCAAACCTTTGCAGGCTGGGCAAGTCTCAAGTTCTGCTTCAGAAACATCTCTTGTGATGAGTAGGTGGCCCAGCAGTAGGTCAAATGCAGCATCCAGTGCTGGAGAGACAGCTGTGCTGTCTTTAGGGACAGCAGTCTTGTCATAGCTGGAAAAAAAATAAGTGCTCAAAAGAAACCTCCAGAAGGGTCATGGATATATGCAGTGCGGTACTACATTCATCCATCACACAAGCCACCACTGACAGTGTGAAGCCAAAGACAAGGAAAAAGAAAGCCAGCTATGGTGGGTCAAGTTGTCCACAAAGCAGGAAAGCCACACCTCAGCTAAATCTGTAAGAGAGCAAGAGCAGCCAGGAGGAGCTGCTCTCCTGATCTCAAAGGGGTTAGCAATGGTCTCCTTACCTCAGCTGGGTGCTGCACACAGTGCCTAGGGCTTCCAACCAGGCTGTCAGCTCCAGACAGCCTGGGCCCAGAACAGGCCAGACAGATCCACGTTGGTTTCTTCAGCCAGCGGGACAGCCTGGTGCTCAGTAACAGATGTCACCAGCCTTTCCACATGCCACAGTGGGGGTGAGAAGGCAAGACACAATCAGCTTAGGTCTGTGCAGAAATTCATGCAGGCAGGGATCACTCCACACCATGTGTGACCCCTCGAGCCTCTGGCATAAAGGGCTTCAACTCAGCCTCCTCACCAAGCCAATTCCCATTTGTCAAAGAAATATAGTTAAAGCCATGTGAACCTGGCATCATGCAGGCTGACAAACCCAACATGCTTTTGCTGCTCTCTCAAGGAAAATGCAGCAAAATCGTTCAGACCTCTCTATCCAAACAGGCTTGTTTGCAGCATGTTTTACATAAAACTATGGCCAGCATTTACTGAAACACAGATTTGCTCACTGCAACCAACACAGTGGGAAAGGGGACAAGCACATTCTGAGAAAGACAGATTAGTCTTATTTTTACAGCTGCAAAGTGTTTGCTGTAACATTACAATAAGAAAAGCACACTGGAATAACAGCACCCATCATCCTCCCAGGTAGATAACAGCACCAAAGAAGGGAGCAGAGCTAAAGACAACTGGGCTCTTTCTACCACTTCAGAACACTTAGCTCAGGAAATGTTTGGGCAATTAAAGTGTCTTGCATTAGGAGAACACTGCTAGCACTGACCTAAAGAACTAAGTACCATTTTAATCACAATGACATGCAGCAGTCAAAAGCGAATGTCTCTACCCTCTGGATCTTTGCTAGAATTTACAACAAGGTTAATTGTTCACCAATTCATTCCAGGGAGTTCACACCCTTGTAGAGCTTGCTGAGGCTCTGATAGATTTGAAATTTTTGAATCAGATTCAAAATCATCTAGGTTAGGAAAGACCTTGAAGATCAACTAGTCCAAGCATTAACCTAGCACTGACCATTCTCAACTACACCGTACCCCTAAGTGCTATTCCAGGCTACAAAGGCAATTAAAAATAATTTCTAGTACAGATTTAGGGCATAAGGAGGGAAGGGAAAGCTGTTCCTACAAGCCCCAGATGCAAAGAAAAAGGAACAATCCCAGCAGTGACATTAATTGCTTCTGGGACAGCCATAGCTGGTGCTTCAGAGGTATGGGTTCATGCAGAAGTGGTACAAACAAGTTGAAGGAATGGCTTCCTTCACCTTCAGAGCTCTCTCTCCAGTATGCTGGAAGCACTGGGCCTTGTGCATGACATACTTTCCTGGCTCATCTTATAAGGATACTTAGCCTCATCTGAACAGTCTGCCTAACAGTTCCTTAACAGCCTGCCACAGGGAGGGACTGGCTGCACACTGAGACCTTCACACACACAGTGCGACTCAAACCAAGCTAGCCTGAGTTTCACCAGAGCTTCACAGTATCCAGAGATCCTCAGACAGAGATCTGCATTTGCTCAAAATCTTTGCTATGCAAATATTTCCTCTCACACTCCCACTTTTTAAATTGCATAGGAAACAAACTGCCTGCCACCAAAACATAAAGCATTGCTGACTGACAGACTTTCTGCTTTGCATGTTCTTCACATCAGCAGCTCCACATTAAGGACCTGGAAGGCCTTTCTATACCAGTTGTACCAATTTTACAACCTGACTGACTTCCAGAACCCACTGACAGCTGGAGCAGTCATGCATGCAACTGCACAGAACCAAGACAAAGTTTAACTGGCAGCAGCTAGATAAGGAGACATGACTTCAGCTGGCTAGGAGAAAAAGCACTTGTATATAGCTAACTACAGTCACTTATTGATAAATTTTTCAGTCCCTACCTCAAACAAGGCAGCAAAAATTAGCTGTCCCATGTGCTTTTTCTTTTATAGCACTATTTTCTAAGCAAGCTAGATGAGAAGGTCCAAGTGTCAGCATCATCAGAGCTGCGTTGTGATCACAGAGCATACAGACCCAGAAGCTTAGGAGGTCATGATCTCATTTGCAATGGTTAATGCCACAGACACAGATTTAAAGGATTTATTCCAAAGCTTTGCAATCACTTTCATTAGCTGTTTACAATGAGATACCAACCTTTGCATAAAAGTGTCAGGGGCATACATGAGTTACGTTCCAGCAGCTTGACTATAGAAGAAGCTTGCTCCAGAAAAGGGACATGGCTGTTCACTGTGGAATAGCATTGTAAATAGCTTCAGCAAAATCTTCTTGATGCTTGTGCCCTGCAGAAACATCTGTTCCACCAACAAGGCAAAACAAAATATATCTTTAAGATGCACAGCTGTGGTTTATTCCAGCTCAGTTCCTTTTCCTTAAGGTGTTTTACTGCAGGGCTTTATGCTAAAGACAAATTTTCCCAAGCCCTTCAGGAGACAGGGCACTGTTCTCCCACATGCTATAGGCTGTCCCAAAAGAATCTTGGGTAAGACACAGGAAGCACCCTCAGGCTCCTATGGGAGTTGTGCTGAAAGGGTTTCCTCCCTTCTTAAGGGAACCACAGCCCCTTTGCCCTATCACCAAAAAAAACAGTCTTGCCCTGACAAGATCATGGATCTGCTGTGAATGCTCCTACTTCTTTCAGTAGAGAAGAGCCAGCCTCAGAGCTGCAAAGGTGTCATGTTCCTTCACTGATACCATCAAGATAGACATAGCTGTGTTTTTCCAAGCCTGACTTATTCCAGTTTCCCCATTTATCCAGCGGATGTTTCACCATCCAACTGTAACACGCCATTCGCTCATGCTTCTGTGGAAGTGGAACTCGACCATAAAAGCAGTCTTCAAAGGACCAGCAAGAGGGGTTTAATGCCAGTTTCTTTGTTCCACATGCATTTTAATACTGCTGCATTACTCTGGGAGTACTGCATATTAATAACTGTCATGCATTAAAAGGACCTGAGATTTTATGAGAATACTGCTCTTAACCTCTCCTTATGCTGAGTAAAGAAAGAGATATGTGTCAAGTCAACCTGTTTCATCTGGATTCTACAGGCCACCCAACTTCTGCACACTAGATAAGGAGACTTGATGGACTATCAGGATCCTGCAAAGCACCAGGAAAGGCACTCCTTTCAGCCTCTGCTGACTGTGGGTCTCCTTGAAAGGGCAGTACACAGACCCTGCATTCAGATGCATATCATAAGATCCTTAAACTTCACAGTGACACATATACCTGCTACTGCAGTTCCACCCGGGCTTCCAACCAATGATGCAGCTATCATGACATTAATTGGCCTCCTTTCAATGTCAGTAGCCATGGAGGCGTTGGCAGCATTGTGACAGATACCACTCTCAACACAATGCATGAAGCGTACTGGCTTTCTCCTAGAACTTGGTGCCTCACATGCTACCACCCACCATGCTTCAGGTTGTACTCTAAGTTACAGAGCCAAGCAGAGCTGAAAAAACTTACAGAGAAGTTTCAGGTCACAAACAAAACAGAGGAGAAAATAGATCAACTTCCTCTGAGGAAAAGAATAACAAATACTTATGTCAGTGAAGCTCCAGCTAAAGGCTTTGATGAGCGCAGGTGAAGCTGCTGGTGGAA